TCTCTCTCTCTCTTTCTCTGGTTTTTCCTTTCTTCTTCCCTGGCCACTTCAACCCCTGCCGAGTAAACCTCAGCCACTTTCACGGCTCTTCACGTCTTCCACGTTTCACCGTCCAGCCGCGAGTGACAGGCTTCGCTTTTTATCGCGGCTATTTTATTGCCAGCACCACGGCGAGCAACTTTGATACTCGTCGTCTCTGTTTCTGTCTCTCTCTCTCTCTCTTTCTCTCTTTCCTTACTTCCTCTCACCGTCGCGCAGCCCCCTAGAAACCCTAGCGACTCGCGACGTCGGCCAAGGTATAGGCGTCCCGTTGGTAGTCAAGGCACTGGACATGCGCGCTGCGAAAACGAGCCTCCGACATTCTACGACCCGTCAACTCGATCAGGCCAAGAGAATCAGCACAGATTCTCGCGCGGATATTTCGCGATCAAAAGGCATGGACGATGTGACGCGATCGGATCGATGCAATGTTGTATGTAAACAGTTACACGCAAGGATGTTCGATGTTTCACAAATTTCGTTCATCCTGGTGGCGTCACGTGGCCAGGAACAATATCGATCCCACGTATATTCTCCTTCGTTCGAGTGGTTCGATCATTCGAACGTGGTCCTTGAACGAGGCCCGCTCAAGGATGTTTTCGAGACGAAGCTGCGATTATCGATCTCGCGGCGGCGGCGGCGGCGGCGGCAGTGTGCCCGACCTCTCGCCCTCGGAGGAACTCGCTCAATTGACGGTAACAACTACGACAAAAGGCTAAATAGAAAAAGCCCCGCGGCTGGTAGAAAAAACTGAACGGATAGTAAGTAAGCTCTGCGTTTGTCACCAAGCGTTTCTTTCGTCGTTTCATTCGATCGATCGCGTCTGTTTTCTTTTCTCTTTTTTCTCTCCTTCTTTCTGTTCCTCTAGCTTCGATTCACGAACGAAACGATCGTATATTGACTGTTTCCTCGTCGAAAAGACGGGCAATTGAGCGAAAGGTAAAAGAACGGCCCTAAACGAGTAAGTCTCGTGGCTGGCCACGAGATTAGAACACTGGTATTATCGATGAATATCGAGTTTCTCCCTTATAGTCACTTAGTTAAGTTCACGGTCTTAAGAGTTTTTAAGAGTTCGTCTCCCTTTCGCGAAACTTCCAGTTGTCCAGAATTATCCAGGATTTGGACCACACACGGTCGTCGTTTCGATCGTTTCCGTTTCGAGAGAACGTGCGATAACTCACTGTCCACTTCTCCTTCTTTCTCTCTGGTCGTGGTCACGTGCTCGCGTGGCGAAGATCGATGGGAATTGGTAGCACTGGTTTCGCATCGATTACCGAGGCCCCAGTTTACGTGAGAAACGGCCACGGCCGGATAATCGATCGGGTCGATGCGAGACAGGAAGTTCGGCCGTGATTCAACGAAACGGAAATCATTATCGACAGAGTAATACGAATAATCACAGTTCACCGGTCGATCGCTCGGTGATGGCCGATGTGGCTCGACCTTAATGAACGCGATCAATTAACGTGAAGTACACGTCACAGTGCTTGGATAACCGCGAAGGATAGAATCGTGGAAATCTGCCTGAAGAACGCAACACCGACGTCATCGATGAACGTCCGATCTCGATTCTCTCGAGGAACTTGTCACAGCTTGCCATCTCGTCGATCGATCGACCAGATAGATTCCTCCGGGTTTCTCTCGGTGGACTTTGTCGTGGTGGAAATTGGAACACAGGAATTATTGACAGGGAATCGAGCCGGTTCCCCGTGAAATTTACGATCCACCGTCAAGCTCGTGGAAACGGTGCATCCTCGCGATCCCTAATGGGGTCTGCGACTCAACCGCGAGCCAGGAATTCGTTTTACAATTTTTTCCATGGGTTTCCTCTACGTCGGGTCACTCTCTTTACCGATTACTCGTCGAGTAATTTTTCATCCAGTCTTACTCTCGTAACGTAACCACGAGTATCTTACTCTTATTCAAGTCGAACATCTCATCAGCGTCTCTTCGTCGACGTCCACGTCCTCGTCGGAAAACTATCGATCCTCGCTTGATTGAGCCGGTCCACGACTCGGTTCCTTCCTCTCGGCGATTTGCCCTGGCTCTTGGTATCGATCCTCTCTTTCTCACTCCCTCCCCGTGTGTGTATACAGTGTGTGTGCGCGTGTGTGTGGCAGTGTGTTGCGTCGCCCCGGAAGGGAAAGAAAACCCGGCGTCCGACGCGTCAGCGTCAGCGTCGAGAAGTCCGCCGCGGCGCGCGATCCTCGTGATCGATGTCCAGTCGGTGCCGCGAGTCGCAACCACTCGTGTCGGCGGTGACTTGCGTGTCGCGCCGCGGCACACGTGACTCGAAGGTCATATTCCGGGATCGATAGGGAAGCGGAGTTTGGTTTTTCAGGAGGCCGCACGCCGCTCCCGGAAGCCCGTGCGGCTCTGCTCGTACCGACGATCGGTTCGCCCTTCGTCGCTCGCGATCGATGACGATGCACCTCTCTTCTCTGCAGCTCTGTCCCCCGGCGGCGGCAGCGGCAGCGGCGGAGGAGGAGGAGGAGGAGGGATTCTCGACGAAAGATTCTCTCGGCAGTCGAGGCAGGTTCGTTCGCGGCTCTCGCCAGGTTTCGCCTCGATCCGATTCGAGGATCCTCTCACGTCCATCTCATGCCTCGAGACGACTCTCGGACGACCGTGCACGAAGATCGACTCGCAACGACTGTGTGTTTGCGCGACGGTTCGATCGCAATGTCCTGACGGCCATTAGTAAGATCGGACGGGTTCAAGCTCGGCTGGACGGAACTTTTTCCTACGGGGAAAACGACGTTTCTCCTCGACGATCACAAGTTCTTCTCGACGAGCGACGATCGGTTACAATCGCCGTCGATTTCGATCCATCACTTTTCCCTTTCGTCGCCCCTCTTCGCCCCACTGTGTTCGGAAGTCACCGTCTACCTTCAATCACCGGATCACCGCGATTCTTCTGCCACGTCCGGACGACCGCTCCTCCCGACCCTGATATATACGTGTACACGCGGCGAGAAACTCGTCGCTCTCCACGATGACTACTCCGCGACATCGAGCGGTCCCGCGACTGCGCACACTCGATCCCCGTTGCCCGAGCCTCGATTTTCCTCTCTCTGGTGCCCTTTCTTTCCGCTCAGCGTGCTCCCTTTTCGTCGGCCGCTGCATGCAACTGCACATTTCCTCCCCGGGTTGGTAGAGACGACGGAAAAAAGATGGCAGTGCGGTCGCCGATGAGGGAAGGTCGAGGTCCCTCCTCATTCGAGACGCAAGGAGACGCGCGCGCGCCCGCGAGAGAGAGAGAGAGAGAGAGAGAGAGAACGAGCAAACACTCGCCTTTGGCGGTATACCCGAATTTTCTGAATTTTCTTGTCTCTCGCTGCGGTTGCATCACCAAAAACGAAGGATGAATCGTCACCCAGAGCGACGCTCTCGGCGAAAGGGAGAATTTTGATTTAAACGGGGACGTGTCACTTAGGGTTTCATGGCTTCAGGTTTTGTCTAACAAAATGAATTCACTGTGTTCTTCGTATCTGTGAGAAGATGCGTCGCGATCGGTATAACGTTTCTTTTCTCTCAATCTTTGAATTTCGTACTGTGAAAGTTTCGTCGGTATTTCTCTCTTCCAAGTAGCGTAAAATCCTCGATTAAATTCCGAGGTAACGCCAATGAACAGATAGAGCGGTAAAAATGGGCTGAGCCTTGTTCCCGCGAAATGAAATATCTGAACCACTCGTGCCGAGCAACATCGACGACAATGGAAATCCAGCCCGATAATTACACCCTTGTTTCACGAA